TTTGTAACAGGACAGAAAGTAGTTGGGTGGAAATGTCCTAAATGTCAAGCACCACGTGAAGCAACAAAAAAGTTTGACTTTATAAAACTTGCACCTATCATTGTGATACACTTAAATCGTTTCGCTGAAAGCGGTGGATGGCTTGAGAAAAGAAATACTACGGTTGATTTTCCATTAAAAGAATTTAATTTAAAACCATATCTTATTACGGACCATGATGCACCTATAAACAATGCACGCTTTTGTACTTATAATTTATATGCCATGTCCAATCATTATGGAACAATGGAAGGTGGTCATTATACTGCATTTTGCAAAAATAGTATTCAAAATAAGTAAGTTTTAAAAGATGATTTGTATTCTTGTTCTTAGATATGTTGGAGATTTTGATTATTTGTCTTTTGGTTTTTTAGATGGTATAAATACGACGATCAAACTGTGACAGAAGTATCACCGAGTCAAGTAAAATCTCAGAATAATAGTGCCTATTTACTTTTTTATACATCCTTATCGAATACATATATTTAGTATAAGGATAGGAAATTAGTTGTACAAAAAGTTTCGCTTTTTGCTTTCTTTTATTTGAAAAAAAGAAATGTCTTTTAGTTATGTAAAGTTTTATTTTATATGATAAGTTAAAAAACAGATGAAATTTTATATATATATATATATATGGTATGTATTTACAAAAAGATCTTTGCGAACAAGCTTATATCATTTTGCAAGAACGTAAAAAAAAGCTTTAGTGGTGCTGGAGTTATAAATATGTAAATAAGTAGTGACAAAAAATATATTGTAATTATTTTATATTGTGATAAGTATAGATCCAAGAATGCAATATTATGTAGCGGTGGATCTTTATATTGTTGCATATTTAAGAAAGTATTTTTTTGGATCTTTGGCTTGAATCGTTTTGTGCCATGTGTACCACCAATGGTACATATAAAACTTTCCATTTAGTTTTTGTTTATCACCGGTGGTACATGCTGACATATTTTATGTGTCAAAACATCAAATGATTTGAATGAAGAGTCAAGCAAAAATGGCATGGCACGGAACATGTTAATTGCGAAAAAATAATTTATTAATTTTATTGCGCTCGAGGGAGAGAGAGAGAGAGTTTGAAAAATATAAGTGGATTATATTACACACACACACACATACACACACAGTATTTATATAATATAAATTAATAATCATTGTTTTATTTTTGTTTTGTGTTCGTAATATTAAATTTTCATATTAGTATGCATGCAAGTATTAAGATACAAAAGTTAATTAACGACGGTGAAAATATTAGTGCCCTGATAAAATAAAACGAACATATAGAAAAATGATAATTATGTTTTTGAATATAAATTATATATATATATAATTTGATAATATATTTGATATAATAGTATAGTGCTAGCTTGAAAGAAGAATGTTAAAAATGAATGTTTTTTTACGATTGCACTAAAAATAATGTTTAGTTAATGCATAATTTGCAAACTGCCTATTTTCCTTAATATTAAATGTTGCTGTAAACTATTTTATTCATATATATATATATATATATAGAAAATATAATGACTTAATAAAGTATTATTTTGCAGCAATGTATACACAATGATTGAAAGTGAACAATCTTTAGAATAATATTAAAATATGATATAATTAAATTATATTTAGTTCCTAATAGGATTATGTATTATTATAAAATATAATATTCTTGAAAATATATAATTATTATACACAGCAATCATATATATATATGTATAGAATAGCAAATGAACGAAAGATCAGATGTATTTAATGTGACGTTTGCACTTTATCTCTGATTATGTATGTTTCATTTAGTTTATAATTAAAAGTCTCGTTTTATATATTATCATTAGAAAAAAAAAGGCATGAAAAGACGTAGTAATAAAATAATAGAAATGGGCAGATAGCGTTAATAACATTGCTAACGTGTATTTCGATATAGATCCCCTTGTAAATGCCTTAATCAAAAACTTTTTACCGTTCTTCTTAGCGTAACTCTCGTTAAGACAATTTATATTTTATCCTTTAATACAGGAGACAGGAAACTGAATTGCCCGGGTTTGTTCTCCCTTTTCTGCTGGCACCCTCCTTCGTCACAGGAACAGCTCGAACCTCTTGCCAACTTTTTTCATATTCCAATTAGAATATTTCTCGTTGATTTAAAGCCCCCCTTTTTTTTTTTTTTAGTGCAAATATTAACGGCTTAACACAACAATAAATTCACGATGTCAATGCTTTGAGATTTTTCATCGAATGCGATCGTCGTAAGGAAATCAAAGTTATAATATAAGGGAAGAGAAAAAGAACAAAAATTAGAGAAGAAAAAAAAGGAAAGGGGGAGAAAGAGAGAGAAAGAAAATCTAAGGATCGGCAAATCTCCTCCCTCCCACCATTCCACCACCACCTACCCCTATATATATATATATATATATACGTATGCTAACTTTACGAGTCGTAGAAACTCTCGTAACATTAATCACCGTTAGTTATTCGAAATCAATAACGCTCGTAAAAATGTCTACTCTCTGTTTACGAGCTATTCCTTTTCACTTTATATCGTTCTGAGACCTGGCTGAAATTATTTCTAATTTAATTGCGCCAGGATATCCGAGAGTTCTCCATATAAGAGATATCCGAGTGCATACTCGGGGGAAGAATGAGAATGACATATCCTCGTTTCTATTGAGGATGGATTTATAAGAATGATGTGATAATAAAGGATACGGATATATTCTCGATCTAGATCTTAATCTTTTATTATTATCTATATATATATATAATACTTACCTTTAAATCTTAGTAGATCAAATGCAACGAGATTGCGAATGTAGAAAAATAAGATATATATTATTACTACGATTAAAAGAAAAAAAATTTCAGTGAAAGCTTAATGAATAAATTATTTGAAAAAAAGAAAACAAAAAAGCAACATGAATTCTTTTGTAATAATTTTCAATAATTGGTGATTGGTTTAGAAAAAAAAGAAAAGAGGTCACGGCTGTTTTATGAGAACAACAACAATAGATATACACTAATACAACAAGATAGACGATTAAGAAGCTGTATTTTGTTGATCGACAAATAATTGCATACAGGAGGCACACGACGCGTATGCTTAATGATAGATCGTGTTAACTTTATGCGATACAAACAGAGGTAGAAAGGCTAATGCTGCCAGAGATACGCGAATACGATAGTACAATTATCATAATGTATAGGCCATTTATTAAATTGGAGAATATAATACACAAGCGGTAGATAACACGTATGTATAATTTATACAATGCTTTTACCCCCCTCCCCCCTGACCCCCTTCTTTCACATTTTATACAGATTGTCTCTACCGTTAATTAACAATAATTTATCTAATACTGTACAGTAATTGTTAAATAATCGATAGCCGATAAACTTATAGACTAGGATGTTGAAATTGTATTCGCTTTTGTTTATTGCAGCGGATGCGCACAGAGAGAGAGTTTATGTATACATATATATTTTTCATTTATTTTCCCTCATCAATCTTTCCTTCTCTCTCTCTCTCTCTCTCTCTCTCTCTCTCTCTCTCTCTCTCTTTCTTTTTCTTTTTCTTTTTCTTTTTCTTTCTTTTTCTTTGCGTATCTTCTCTTCAAACGTACACTACGTGCAACGTTATCTTTCTTATTCTTTCTTTATTTATTTGATCTTATCGTTTAAATTCTAATTAATAATTACCTATCCACCTAACTATGTATATCGAAGTCGTATTAAATACGTTAAATATCACATTCACGTTTATCGTATCTACAGAAATATACAAAAGTCTGATTCTTGTCCGAACTTTCGCTTGCGTTGATGATCTAGTTTACGATACATTTAAAACCAATTCGTTTTACAATATTTCGTATCGTTTCGTTTCGTTCTCACGCGTCGACGACTCTTCGTAGAAAAAGTAACGTTAATTTTTCTTGAGATCCGTGTCATTGTCATAAATTTGATATACTTAAAGTAAATGAAATGAATTCAATTGATCATAAAATTCATTCGAATTGATTCGTGATTATTTTTTTAGGCAATAATAATATAAAGGCTGATTTTTTCATGGTAGTTAAATACATTATAATATATTATCTTTTCCCTTTTGTTATTATAAATCAATTCATTACACATCGTTTTATTATTTATTTTAATTAAATACAAATGGAAAAAATTCATCATTTAAATGAATTTGTTTAATTCATTATTTCTGTTTCATATCTTTACGTTTCTCTTAACACACAGTTCCAATGTAATAATAATAATAATAATAATAATTTCAATCTCACATAAAACAAAAAAGAAACAAAACAATATATGAAATAATCAAACGTTAAAGATTTTCATTAATGAATCGATTAGAATAATTTCACCGATACGAGGAGTGATCTTCGAGGAAAAATCTTTTTTTTCCCTTTGTCTTTTTCTACCGAAAAGCATCGATTTTTTTCTCGTCCTATAACCCGGAATCTCGTAATTCAGTCACGCTAGTAGTGAACCAACGAAGCACCTCGAGGACGAGGGAGGAAGAATAGAGAGAAGATATTACCACACATACACACACATACACACACTGCGAAATACTCAAACTTCTCACATACACACAACAGAGTCACACATGTATATATGTACTATATATACTTATATGTATATATTAGTAGAACTCTCGTTACATCACTCCAAGAGGAAGTAAATCCGCGACAAAAGGATTTTCCTAGTCTCCTTTCTTTTTCTCATTCATTCACATCAAAGATATCAGTTTTCTCTCTCTCTCTCTCTCTCTCTCTCTCTCTATATATATATATATATATATGTCTGTCTATTTTTCTTTCTCTCTCTCTCTCTCTTTCTTTCTTTCTCTCTTTCTTCCTTATCTTCGTTTAGCCACGCCTCTCTTCTCTTCTCTTCTCATCTTATTTCATCTTCTTTTCTACCATAACTCCGCCATTTTCTTTGTTCTTTTATTCACCTAACCTCTCCGTTCCTTATTTCTAACATCTTTCAATGCCTGTATTGCTGTTCGAGTTCCCTTCTCAACCTTTTCGCTGCCGTTTCGCTGGTACCATCAGTTTCGGCATCGCTGCAACCATCCTCACCCTCTGCAACTATACCCTCAACTTCCTCCTGACGTCTTTTAGCCGTCGCCATTTCAGCGGCGTTCTTCTTACGCCATTTTGTCCTTCTATTTTGAAACCATACCTGAAATCATACAAAATAGATAACGTAGAATTAGATTATAACATTATTTAGATACTGATTATATTTTTTTCTCAAGAGAGAGATACATTATATTTTAAATTCAGGAGACCGAAAATTCAGGAGACCGAAAATTCAGGAGACCGAAGTTTTTCAAAGCAACGATGCACTTTCCGATCGTTAACAGTATTCTCCCCAAACGTCTGGTTTATATTGTGTGCAAATTATGCAGCATTATTACCAAGTTTATACTCATATATAAAAATTATGTTATGAATATCGGTTGAATTCATATCCTCACAAAATTTTTCAAAAATTACAAAATTGAACACTTTTGAGAAAATTTGTTTTGTTGAAATGTGACTCAGGCAATGGACAGTACGATCATAAACAAAATTATGCCAGAATTACAAAAATGACGAAAACAGGAGAACAAACGTTCACATGTAAAGAAAATTCGACATTTCATATGCACCAACCTAATATTAATATAACATTTTGTTCTTTCTTTTTCCATGAATTAATATTTCCCCTACGAGGATTATTGATATATATACTTTTTAACGAGACTATCCTAAAGAATTTGGTGAACGAATTCGAAAGGCAATATAAACCCAATAGGATAGTAAAAAGATCGTAAAAACGGTAGTTACATTTAGGTGGAATAATGATCAATCGAGAAAATGAATGTTCGAGTCGAATTGTGTCGAGTACTAAAGACGAATTTGACCGATTCTTTGTTAAGTAAGAAGAAAAAGGATAAAAAAAAGAAAAGGGAAAACAAATAAGCGGATTATATAGCTGAAAAGAGAAAAAGAGAAAGAGAGAGAGAGAGTAATTAGTGTCGAGTTTAGACTTAAGCGGACAATCATGGTAGCAGTATTTAAAAAAAGGAAAAGAGAAAACATTGAAGGGAAGTGGGAAAAAAGAGAGAAAGAAGATAGCTATGGTGGTGGGGCGGGGGTGTGAGGGGTGGGTGAAAGGTATAAGGGAAAATTCCAGGAATGGTTCGCCGGAAGCAAGCGGTGCTAACTTAAGGTGCCCCTCTGCACCTATAAAGCTCGAAATACATAGTAGGAGTCTCTGTCCCCGCAACAATGTATTTAATTAACGTAACGGGTGTCAGGGGAGTAACGGGGAGGTAGGGACCGTACCGATTGCACCCACAAACCACCCCCGATCCATGCCACCACAGCGTAGAACCCCACTAAACTCTCTCCTCCTCATACTCTTCTTCCACCACCATCCAACTCTACCACCACCACCACCACCATCACTACCACCACTACCATTAGGAAGTTCACCCTCTTCCTCCTACACCACCACCACCACCACCACCACCCGCCAATCCGCACGCTTGTTCAATGGCCGCCAAGTCGAGAGCTTAAATTAAAGATATAAGCGCATCCTGCTTGCTTGTGTTCCTTCCTTCCTTTCTTCCTGTCTGCCTGTTTGCCTTCTTTCCTGACTTCCCTGCTTGCCTGGCTGCGTGCAGGAAGCGGTAAACGAATTAAAAAGTAAACGGCCCACCGTAAAAGTTAATAGCTGTTCGGATGAAAATTAAAACACTCGAGAAATTAAGATAACGTTGAGTAGGAAGAGGTAAAGGGGGAAAGGGGAGGGGATCAAGGAAGAAAGGATAGTCAGCAGGGATTGATCCTGCTATGGTGGAGTTGTAAAACAAAAAAAATAAAGGAAAATGCCCCTTCGAACCGGTTGATATTTCTTATTTCTATACTTTTTGTATTTTATGGTTACACTTTTTTTTAAAGATTATTTTTCGAAAAATAATCTTTATTATTGAGTAGATATAGTCAGGAGGGATTGATGGTGGTGTGTAAAAAATAAAACTTTCGACTGGTTGAAATTTCATCGTATATTTTTGTTTAGACGCCTTATGGTTACCCTTTTATTAACAAGATAATGTAATTATTGATTAATATATATACTATCGAGTATATATATATGTATATATGTTTTGTTGTTGTGAAAAGGGTGTAACACGATGTTGAAGATTTTTGGTTCAATTAGATCCTTCAAATTGATAGGAAAATCAAGTTATAGCCCTTCACCGTAAACGATACTCGTGTTAAATACAAGTCACAGACACACATTATCTTTCTCAGTTTCTCTTAAACGATACGAACTCTATGGGGTAACGGTTTCACGCTATTATAAGAGGGGGTCGAGAAATAAAATCGAAAAGGGACAAGTGACACGGACCATTCGAGGGGTAGTAGTACGAAACGGCACGTGCACCGAGAAAATATTTATCGTAATGAACTTAGAACGTGTAACGATTTTATGATACTCTTATCGAATTCTTCAATTTATTAAAAAATAATAATAATAATAAAAAGAGACAGATCTTTCAATTTTCTAGTTTTTTTGTATTTTTCTTAGGAAAACAAAATAAAATGGTAATGCAACGTTGTTTATTTAAAAGAAAGATGACGAGTGTTCCTGTAGGTATACATACATATACATATATATATTCGAAGGTATCATTAATCGTTACTTTATTGTTATACTAAGCGCGTCATTACGTTGGAATGTTTCTTCACAAAGAGCAAAGAACTCATTCATATGTTTAGTTAAGAGGAAGAATGAACGAACGAACGAACGAATGAAGCACGTTGGGACCGTCTGTGAAGAGAGTTTTCTATGAGTAAAATAATATATCAAAGCATTCTCTCTCTCTTTCTATATATCTATCTATCTTTCTACCGAACAACATCCCCTTTTGAGAGAAGGAAACCTACAAACGACTCGTGTAAGTCTTATGGCCGCAAGCTTTTGACCCATTCGAGGATCTACGAGTCAAATGAGGGTGAATGACAATGACAGATTTAACGTATTACACTTTTCCTTACGTATATATATATATATATATATAGATTTATTATAATATTGTATTTTGTAAATTCTTCAAGAAAATTTACTGATTTTGTTATGTCCGACCTAAGTGAATAAATTTTGTTCTGTGTTTGTTTTAAACGTAAGAATAAATCGTCTAACGTAATCGAATGGTATTCTAAAATTACGTAAAAAACGTTGAATATTTATGTGTGAAATATTATTATCTAAAAATAATCAAATATATACATACACATACACAAGTAATATAAAAGAAAGAAAGACAGAAGTATTAAATCCCATATAGAGATAGTGTGTTTCACGAGAATGTTAAATCCTCCTATTGCGAAAGATATCATCGTGTCAAAATGTAAATGCAAAAAAAAGGCCTTCCCAATGGATCATCCATCTTGTTTTTGAACGCATTAGTCACGCACACGTTGCTGTAAGCGGAGGCGGACGAAAGGGAGGACGAAAGTTCTACCCCCTTCCCCCTAACCCCTCCCCACCTATCCCTTCACTCGCTTGCACGTTATGTGTGTTGGCTCACAACTGTTCGATTTATTAAATCAGGATTATCTAAGCCCATTACTTTGTCCTGTAAACGTAGACACAAAACCGCATTTATAACGGCGCAAAGCCCTTAAAAGGGCTTGAGGGGTTGAGGTACTGATTTCCGTGGGCTGTCTGGCACCCTCCCTCTAACAGATAATACCGATAGCATCTGATCTCTCGTTGATATTGACGAACAATTTATCGTTGTGAAAGATTAGAAACGTGTACCCAGAATCAGAACAAGCGCGAGTCTCGTGAGTCAGGATGTAGAAAAAAAACAAAATGGTTGTGAAAAGGTTTTCCGTACGTATTAGATCGCGTAGACAAAAGAGTGTATTTAAGTTTAATATAAGTTTCATTAAAATCTATTCACTTTTAGTATAAAAACTATTTACCAAAATTTTTCAAAGAAATAGCAAAGTTGTACAATTTATAGCATTGCAATCTCTGATGACATTTTTACTTACTGAGTTATCATAATAATTATTCATTTTAGGCCCTACATAGTATCATAGTTTTTTATGCAGAATTTGACGTTTTATAAGAATCCAGAAAAAAAAAAATTAAGCATTCCATTTACAAAAAATAACGATGATCTTGATATCTCATTAAAAAAGTACATTAAAAAAAAAAGATTTTCTTCACCATTATAATCATTTGTCCCCTAATTTTGTTTAACTATGCGGGGGAAAACATTTGTTCATACAATGTATTATATTTTACGAATTATTTCTCTTCTTATGAAAACTAGCATGAGACCTTGTGGGAAATAAATTTGAAATACTTCCGAACTGTTAAGGGTTAATTACAAAAATGCACGAAATTTAGTTTCATCCTAATATAGACAATGTAATATTGTACAAATCTTGTTTACGAATTCTTTCTTCTCCTCCTCCTCCTCCCTCTTCTTCACCATCGAGGAAAGCTCGTATTTTAAGTAAACATACACACATGTGTGAGGAAAAGAAGAAATCTTGTCAGAATGTTCAGAGAATGTTATGTGGAATGAAGAATAAAAAAGAAAAAAAGGGGGAGAGAGAGATTTGACGAGTAACAGGGATGTTTCATGATAGGAAGGGAAAGGGTAAAGGTATGGGGACATACAGGTAGGAAGGTGGTAACAAAGGATTGGGAGGAAGAGGGTGGGCAGGGGGTAGGGGTAGGAACAAGGGAAGAAAAGTCGAAAGGGTGGTTTTTCGGAATGAGAATGAGAAAGAGAGAGAGAAAGAACTATATAGATGGAAAAGACTCGAGATGGGGAAAGATGTATGGGGAAATGAGGGTGCGGAAAAGGATGGGGAGGAAAAGAGGGTTTGGAAGGAAAAACCTTGAGAAGGGAGTGGTGGAGGAGGGTAAAAGAGGAAAACAACTCTGGCCCGCCAATTGGGTTGAGGAATATGGCGAATCGAGAGGGTGGAAAAGAAGAACAATGCACATGAACGAACATAACCTAAATAACCTTAAAAATAACTTCAAAAAAAAACATTAACATCAAAAATAACTCTAATTATTCCGCGTGACAATATAATACTTACTCTAAATTTATCAATAAGATGATAAAATGATAAAATAATATTAGTTTTTTGCTGTAA